TGACAAACCCACAGCAAACATCATCCTCAATGGTGAAAAACTGAAACCATTTCCACTAAGTTCAGGAACAAGACAAGGTTGCCCACTCTGACCACTCTTATTCAACATAGTTTTGGAAGTTTTAGCCACAGCAATCAGAGAAGAAAAAGAAATAAAAGATATCCAAATCAGAAAAGAAGAAGTAAAGCTGTCACTGTTTGCAGATGACATGATACTCTACATAGAGAATCCTAAAGATGCTACCAGAGAACTACTAGAGCTAATTAATGAATTTGGTAAAGTTGCAGGATACAAAATTAATGCACAGAAATCTCTTGCATTCCTATACACTAATGATGGAAAATCTGAAAGTGAAATTAAGAAAACACTCCCATTTACCATTGCAACAAAAACAATAAAATATCTAGGAATAAACCTACCTAAGGAGACAAAAGACCTGTATGCAGAAAATTATAAGACACTGGTGAAAGACATAAAGATGATACAAATAGATGGAGAGATATACCATGTTCTTAGATTGGAAGAATCAACATTGTGAAAATGACTCTACTACCCAAGGCAATCTACAGATTCAGTGCAATCCCTATCAAACTACCACTGGCATTTTTCACAGAACTAGAACAGAAAAATCTTAAAATTAGTATGGAGACACAAAAGACCCCGAATAGCCAAAGCAATCTTGAGAAAGTAAAACAGCTGGAGGAATCAGGCTCCCTGACTTCAGAGTATACTACAAAGCTACAGTATTCAAGACAGTATGGTACTGGCACAAAAACAGAAAGATAGATCAATGGAACAGGATAGAAAGCCCAGAGATAAACCCACGCACATATGGTCACCTTATCTTTGATAAAGGAGGCAAGAATATACAGTGGAGAAAGGACAGCCTCTTCAATAAGTGGTGCTGGGAAAACTGGACACCTACATGTAATAGAATGAAATTAGAACACTCCCTAACACCATAATCAAGAATAAACTCAAAATGGATTAAAGACCTAAATGTAAGGCCAGACACTATAAAACTCTTAGAGGAGAACATAGGCAGAACACTCCATGACATAAATCACAGCAAGATCTTTTTTGACCCACCTCCTAGAGAAATGGAAGTAAAAACAAAAATAAACAAATGGGACCTCATGAAACTTCAAAGCTTTTGCACAGCAAAGGAAACCATAAACAGGACGAAAAGACAACCCTCAGAATGGGAGAAAATATTTGCAAATGAAGCAACTGGCAAAGGATTAATCTCCAAAATTTACAAGCAGCTCATGCAGCTCAATATCAGAAAAACAAGCAACCCAATCCAAAAGTGGGCAGAAGACCTAAACAGACATTTCTCCAAAGAAGATATACAGACTGCCAACAAACACATGAAAGAATGCTCAACATCATTAATCATTAGAGAAATGCAAATCAAAACTACAATGAGATATCAACTCACACCGGTCAGAATGGCCATCATCAAAAAAATATACAAAGAATAAGTGCTGGAGAGGGTGTGGAGAAAAGGGAACCCTCTTGCTCTGTTGGTGGGAATGTAAATTGATGCAGCCACTATGGAGAATAGTATGGAGATTCCTTAAAATCTAAAAATAGAACTACCATACAACCCAGGAATCCCACTACTGGGCATATACCCTGAGAAAACCGTATTTCAAAAAGAGTCATGTACCACAATGTTCATTGCAGCTTTATTTACAATAGCCAGGACATGGAAGCAACCTAAATATCCATCAACAGATGAATGGGTAAAGAAGATGTGGCACATATATACAATGAAATATTACTCAGCCATTAAAAGAAATGAAATTGAGTTATTTGTTGTGAGGTGGATGGACCTAGAGTCTGTCCTACAGAGTGAAGTAAGTCGGAAAGAGAAAAACAAATACAGTATGCTAACACATGTATATGGAATCTAAAAAAAAAAAAGGTTATGAGGAACCTAGGGGCAAGACAGGAATAAAGACACAAACCTACTAGAGAGTGGACTTGAGGATATGGGGAGGAAGGGTAAGCTGGGACAAAGTGAGAGAGTGGCATGGACACATATACACTACCAAACGTAAAATAGCTAGTGGGAAGCAGCCGCATAGCACAGGGAGATCAGCTCGGTGCTTTGTGACAACGTAGAGGGGTGGGATAGGGAGGGTGGCCGGGACGGAGATGCAAGAGGGAAGAGCTATGGGGATATATGTATATGTATAACTGATTCACTTTGTTATAAAGCAGAAACTAACACACCATTGTAAAGCAATTATACTCCATTAAAGATGTTAAAAAAAATTTTTTTACCTCTAACTTTGGCAGAGATATGAGGCAAACAAGCATTTGCATACTTTGTTATTAGGAATGAAGTTGGTAATGACCAATTTGAAAGACTGATTGACGGTGTTTATCAAAAATTAAAATGTACATACTCTCTGACCTACCTATAGAAGTTATTCTGCAGGTACCTCACGCACATACACAAAGCTGCATATATAATTATATTCATTACCAAATTGTTTGTAATAGTAAATGACTGGGAAAAAAGTAATGCCCAACAACAGGGAGCTGGTTAAATAAATTATGGTCTACCCAGTCAGTTAAATATTATGCTACCATCAAAAGTGGTACGGTGTGGTACAACCATGGTGGAAACAGTTGGCAATTTTTTACAAAGTTAAACATATACCTGCCCCATGACCCACCCAAGAGAAATGAAAACACATTTGCAATAACAGATGAATAGATAAAGAAATTGTGGCATATTTATGTAAAGACATAATATTAAGCAATAAAGAAGGAGTGAAGTACTGAACATGCAACAACATGGATTTATCTCAAAAATATTCTCTTGAAAGAAAGAATCTAGACACTGAAGTGTATATATTCTGTGATTCTTTTTATATAAAGTTCGAGAAGAGGCAAAACTAAGCTACGGTGATAGACAGTTAAAACAGTGGCTGCTGTTGGCGGTGGAGATAGTGGAGACCAGAAGGAGGCCTAGGAGAACTTTCTGAGGAAATGTTCTATATCTTGTTTAAAAAGTGTACATGTGTGTATACATTTGTCAAAATGAATTGAACTGTACCCTTAAAATCTGTGCATTTTATTTATGTAAATTATATCTCAATTGAGAAATGAAAAACAGAAGAAAAATAAGATAAATCTATAGTGATATAGAAAAGTTTCTAATATATTTTTGGTTTTATTTTTCGTTGAGTTGGAAATAATTTTCAACTCATAGAAAAATTTCAAGAATAAGAGTAAAGGGACTTGCCTGGTGGCGCAGTGGTTAAGAATCCACCTGCCAATGCAGGGGACACGGGTTCAAGCCCTGGTCCGGGAATATCCCACATGCCGTGGAGCAACTAAGCCCGTGTGCCATAACTGCTGAGCCTGCACTCTAGAGCCTGCGAGCCACAACTAGTGAAGCCCGCGTGCCTAGAGCCCATGCTCTGCAACAAGAGAAGCCACCGCAATGAGAAGCCTGTGCAGCACAGCAAAGAGTAGCCCCCGCTCACAACTAGAGAAAGCCCACGCGCAGCAGTGAAGACCCAATGCAGCCAAAAATAAAATAAATAAAATACATTTATTAAAAAAAAAATTTTAGGAGGGAAAGACAGAGATGGATTCAGGTTTGTTTGTTTGTTTTTCCCCCTTCTCTTATGTTATAAAAATAAATTTTAAAATTCCCAAACTCCTTTCCATAAGTGAAGGAGAAAGGCATGGAACATGGAGCCTCACAAGGTTAACATAGTGATATGTAGAATCAAATCCCACTAAACTTAAGTTCCTTGAACGCAGGGCTTTTTGTGCTTACTTTTATCCCTCAGAGCCTGGCAATTATTAGAAGTTCAATACAGATATGTTGAATGAGTCAGTCAGTTTTGTTTTACCTGAAGACTTTGGAGGTCTAACTTATATTCTTTTCATCCCAAATTTATCACTTGACTAAAACTATATAAATAGAAAAAAGCCTATATTCTCATGTCCTCTGACCAAGAATCTGTTCTAAGAATGTACATGTTGGATATGACATGGTAAAGTCAGTGCTGCCACAGGAAGAAATGAGGGGGAGGCTTTGCAGGAAGAAGTTTATTATACTCACAGGTCAAAATAATCAATGACTGAAGAAATATAAAGTCATCAGTTAAAGGCTACAAGAGCGGTGTGTTTCAGAGATGTGAGTGAGCAGGGGTAAGATATTGTCCCTGCTACAGAGAGCTGGGACTGCTCCCTGGGCAGGACCACTGCAGTGGAGTAAAAAGGGACAGATTGGAGTATGTCATCCTCCTCTAGATGTCTGGGCATTTGTTCATCAGCAGGCTTGTTAATTTATGAAAACCCACTCACAATCACCTCCAAACTTTCTCCACATGAGATAAGCTGGGGGTATATCACCATCCCTCATAGAAGGGGCATCAGTGTAGTGAATCTTCTCAGTCCATACTCCTCAATAGGTCCTTGTGTTCTAATTTTATTTTGATATTCACCAGCCCACCTTTTATTTGAATTTTCATTGCAGATTTTTAGGTCTCAGTACAGCGTTTGCTTTTGGTGGCTGAAGGGTATACTTTAGCCTGGGAACTTTTGACAAAAATTTACCTAAAGCAAGAACTGACTTCTAGGCAGCTTAGAACTGAGCTCACTGATTCAAGTCACTGTTTTGTTGCAGGCTGTTCAACACTGCTATTCCTCACTCAAAGGGGGAAAATGGAAAGAGTTACTTACTGGTTGAAGTAACCATCTTTGGATATAAATGCCTGATTAGGCAAAGTTGAAGTACTATTTAAACAACAGTAGGGACTTCTGTGGTGGTCCAGTGGTTGAGACTCTTTGCTTCCATGTCCCCTGTCCGCACAGGGGATATGGGTTCGGTCCCTGGGGGAACTAAGATCCTGCATGCTGCATGGCGCAGCCAAAAAATAAAACAAATTTTTAAGTTAAATAACAGTAGAATCTAGATGAGCTACTTAATTATCTGTGAGTAATATATTGGGTTTTTTCTGTTTTAGATCGTTATGTTAAACTCCGTTTCTGACCTTCATCACTACATTGACAAAAGCCAACTGACAGAGGACTTAGGGGGAACTTTGGAATATCACCACAGTCAGTGGATAAATCATCGAACTGTAAGTACCAATTTATGTGCCCTTTTCAGTGTCCCTCCTGGTTTTCTAGAGACAGGAGACCTAGAGATCAACTGTTGGGCAGTCATTGCCCGTGACTGCCTAACATCGGGAAGGTTGGGTTTTCTAAGCAACAGGCTGGGGGAGAGACAAGGTGCAAGGATAAAAGCTAGGGCTTCTCTTGCTGATTACCTTCGTCTTGGCTCATTTTATGGTATGGGGGTTTTGGGGGACTTGATTTAGGGTGCACCTGGGGAGTTTGCAAAATACCCTGCTATACTTCAGAGAATTTAATTTACTTGATCTAGGATGGGTCTCAGGCATTAGTGGGTCACAAAACTCCCCAGATGATTCTAGTGTACAGACAGATTGAAACCCACCAAGTCAGAAGAAGCTGCATTTAAATGTTGCCACCATTGCTCCTTATCTGAGCTCAAGGGAGTTACTAAACCTCTCTGAGTTTGTTTTCTCCCCTGCAACTAACACAGTGGTTCTCAGCTTGGGGCAATTTTTCCCGCAGAGGGCATTTATTGATGTCTTCAGATAGATGTTTTTTATAGTCATAACTTGGGGAGAGGGGTGTTACTGGCGTATCCTGGGTAGGAGCCAAGGATGCTGCTAAACATCTTTTTTTTGCGGTACGTGGGCCTCTCACCGCTGCGGCCTCTCCCGTCGCGGAGCACAGGCTCCGGATGCGCAGGCCCAGCGGCCACGGCCCACGGGCCCAGCCACTCCACAGCACGCGGGATCCTCCCGGACCGGGGCACGAACCCGTGTCCCCTGCATTAGCAGGCGGACTCTCAACCACTGTGCCACCAGGGAAGCCCTAATATGTTTCTATTTGTTTTTTTTTTTTTTTGCGGTATGCGGGCTTCTCACTGTTGTGGCCTCTTCCGTTGCGGAGCACAGGCTCCGGACGCGCAGGCTCAGCCGTCATGGCTCACGGGCCCAGCCGCGTCCGCGGCATGTGGGATCTTCCCGGACCGGGGCACGAACCCGTGTCCCCTGCATCGGCAGGCGGACTCTCAACCACTGTGCCACCAGGGAAGCCCCTGCTAAACATCTTATAATGCACTAGACAGCCCCCCACAATAAAGAATTATCTGGACCAACATATCAGTAGTGCCAATGGTAGGAAACCTTGGACTAACAAAAGCTACCTGAAGGTTTGATATGTAGAATAAGTGATATAATGTCTATGAAAGCATCTGAAATATAGTATTTTACTTTTTCCTACTTACTCGTAGTGATGGTTATTATGCTAAACTAGAAGGGTCAGGAAAATTAAGGAAAAAGTGAGATTGAAACTCAGCAAATAATGTTTGTCTATATAAAGTTGTCATTCCCCTTTCCCTTCTCTCCTAGCCCCATACCCTTGAGAAGATTAGGTTTTCTATGCAAAATCAGAAGCTGCTTTCACCATCCTGAAAACACCTTGCAGTGTCAGCACACCTCTCTATCTACTCACTTTGGAAACATGTTGTTCAACATTTACTGATGAGGACTTCCCTGGTGCCGCCGTGGTTAAGAATCCACCTGCCAATGCAGGGGACATGGGTTTGAGCCCTGGTCCGGGAAGATCCCACATGCTGTGGAGCAGCTAAGCCTGTGCGCCACAACTACTGAAGCCTGCGTGCTTAGAGCCCGTGCTCTGCAACAAGAGAAGCCACCGCAATGAGAAGCCCACACACCGCAACAAAGAGTACCCCCACTCTCTGCACTAGAGAAAACATGCACACAGCAGTGAAGACCCAGTGCAGCCAAAAATAAATAAATAAATTTATTTTAAAAAAATTTACTGATGAACAAACACCTCAACTACATTTGATTAAGTAGGAGAATTCACCCTGTTTTAGAGTGTAATGTTTTCTTTTTGGTTGTGTTTTTTTGGTTTTGTTTATAAATTTTATTTATTTATTATTTTTGGCTGCATTGGGTCCTCGTTGCTGTGCGTGGGCAGAGATAGTTGCGGCGAACTGGGGCTATTCTTCCTTGCGGTGCACGGGCTTCTCTTGTTGCAGAGCACGGGCTCTAGGCGTGCAGGCTTCAGTAGTTGTGGTTCACGGGCTTTACAGAGTAAAGAGGTGATTTATCTAAGGTCATATGGTCAAGCAGTGGCAGAGCCAAGACTAAGGCCAAGCTTTTCTGAATCACTCTATTAGGGGCAGGTCCTCTGTACAATTTCCAATTAGTGATTACTAATAATCACCAATTACTAATAATCACTAATCAGACACATGGAATCAAGTTATTTTGTTAATTGGACTCGCCACAGGAAGCCTTTGGCTTTCCCCTATTTCTAGGATGACATTTCCAGGCTTTACACCTGATTCTCTTAGTTCTTACTGTTACATTTGTAAGGTACTCATCTGTGCCCAAGATCCTTTCAAATTTGCCATTCCTTTTGATCCTCAGAAAATTCCTGAAGAAATAGAACAACCATTGGTTGAATCCTGCCTTCTTTCCTTCCTTACTGTCCTAGTAATATGATCTCGGCCAATTTACTTGACCTGCTAGAGCTTCAGTTCCCTCTCCTATAAAATGGAGATAAAATGCCTTCCACTCTAGATTATTGAGATGACAGACAAATGTATAGCACAAAGTACAATGCATGGCCTATTTCATATACTCAGGAAATAGTTCTCCTGTCCTACTGAGAGAGCATATTGGTGAATGTTAATCCCTCCACACTGTTATGATTGTCTGAACTTCCAGGCCATTGAAAACTTTGCTCTGGCGTTGAAGAGCACTGCTCAGATGCTCCAGACTTTTGGGGCCTGCCTAGCCGCAACAGAACTGCCCAGAAGCATGTCATCCTCTGAAGACCTTCTCATGTCCCACACAAGGCAGCAGGGCAAGTTGCAGGTGAGTGGTCAGTAATCTCTCAGAGGCCAGCCTATGTGCTGGCAGATGGTCAGCTTCCTGGAGAGTGCTGGGAGCAGAATTAAAAGTTAGGCCCTCTTCTTCCCACTTCTCCAGTAACTTGGCAGCCACTAATCATCTTTAATCTTCTAGATAGGCAGTGTGTAAAGAGGAAAATCTCTTAATGACTGGGTAGTACATGTGAAATGTTTGCAGGTTGTGAGAAGCAGCCCCTTAAAAGGGAACTCATTCCAGCTTTGTGCTGGTGAGACAAGGTGTGTGAACATCCCTTCAAGGTCCACACTCCTATGATCTTCTCAGGACAGAACAAGATACTATAGGCTGAAATTGCAGGGAGGAAGGGAGGGAGAGATGGGAGTCGGCTTTTGAAGCATAAGCTTTCCTGAGGCTGTTATGAAGTTTTGGGGCAGACTAGTAAGCTGATTTATTGCTTCACTCTCTCAGGGATGTGTCTTTTTATTTGGGGACCAATATGAGAAAGAGAGCTATGAAAGGTGCTCTGAACTGGGTTTAAGGAGAGGCATCTACTGAAGGATTCATAAAAACATGTCAGAACCTGCTGGGAAGGCAGCTTGGCAGATTCTTTTAGGCCATGCAGTAGAGGGAAGTCTTCTCAGGGCTTATTGGCTGGGTGTCAGCCACTTTCTGTCTCCAGAAACAGACCAAGTCTATTATTTAGCAGGAGACCAGAACTCAACAGGGCAGCAAATCAAGGATTGGAAGGTTGATACATTGTAGCATTGCATGTATACTTGCTGTGTTGAGCTTAAGAAGAGCTGAACTCTTTTATCTGTGACCCAAAATTTGCAAAAACTTTGCTTTGCTAGGTGATTGATTTTTTATTTATTCAGCATGTATTGACGACCCACCACCACATGCCAAGAAAACAACAAACAAAATGCAAGCTCAAGGAACTCATAGTTTAGTTAGGGGAGTCAGAGTCTAGTAGTTGAGGCAAATTAATTCTTCCATGTGTCAGGGAGCACTGTTTAATTCTATCTTTAAAGGTCTTGGTTACCAAAAAGAGTTCAAAATGTGTTCTCAAAATTACTCTTGAGTAACCAAAAGATCTGGTTTGAAACTGTAGAAGCCTGAAAGCATCCTGGAATTTTCCCTGGAAATGCCTCTGAGAAGCTTGACCATTTTCTTTGCCAAACATATAGGCCAAGTTCACCTCCCATGTTTCTTGGAAGAGACGGCATGGGGTGTGGAAGGCTGGGTCGAGGGTGCCTCTGTGAAGACCGCTAGAAAAGGGCTGGTGATCCACGCCCACAGGTCACAGACCACAGGAGCCTACAGAGCAGTCAGTTAGTATATAGGTGTGATGTTGAGCATCAGAGCTCCAGCCTGGGCTCATGAGCAAATGTGTTCTGTGCCTCATTCCAAGAAGGGTTGGGAGAGGTTGCAGAGCAGAATCATCAAGATGACAATGTGACCAATCATGGAGGCCTCTGGGGAAAAGGTGAAAACAAATTGGATTTTAGATGAGGACACATATCTGAGGGATGAAACCAGCCAGTCAGATCCTGCTGTATGTGCAGTGAGGGTTCCCAGGGAAGGCAGATGAGTGGGTGTTCTGTCATCGCTACATAGACCAAGAGCTCCACAAAGGGAAAGGGAAGGAAAGAACCAGTCTCCAAGATGGAGTAAGGTCATTTTCTGGTTCATGGTGGCCAGCTGTTCTTGGAATTAAAACACTATGTGTGTAAGTCAAATTTGACTTCTTTGTTTCATATCTTATAAATTAGAAGCAAAAATTCCAAAATCATTAAACTAGGCTTAGATTTTTCCTTTTTCCCATCCAAAAAAGCTTTACAGAGAGCAAGAGTTTATATTACAAAAAAGGAATACTATTTAAACTTTTATGAATAACTTAGTTTTTGTGATTATTTAACATAATTTTATTTTTATTTGAGTATTTTCCTATCTTTTAAAACCAAAGTTTCTATAACTAGTTGAATAATTTTTTTTTCATTTGGAAAGCATCTTTTCCAAGTTAAAAATTAGTGTAAGATTCATCCTCAGAACAGTGAACTTTTAAATCTATTTAAATATCTATACAAGTTACAGTGTATGATTTAAGGCTTCCTCCCAGCCCAGAGAGTTTTTGTCTGAACAGCACAGCATTAAGAGACTTGGTTTGATTTCTTGACTTCCTTTCTCTAGGGGATCTTTGAGAGCCCTTATTTTAGGTTCACATAAGCACATAGCTGCCTCTGCAATCAACCAGTCCCATACAGGATAAACCCTAGGAGAAACACACCAAGACGTTTAATCAAACTAACAAAAATTAAATTCAAAGAAAAAATACTAAACATAGCAAGGGAAAAGCAAAAAATAACATACAAAGGAATCCCCATAAGATTATCAGCTGATTTTTCAGCAGAAACTCTGCAGGCCAGAAGGGAGTGTCAGGATATACTTAAAGTGATGAAATAGAAAAACCCATAACCAAGATTACTCTACCCAGCAAGGATCCCATTCAGATTTGATGGAGAAATCAAAAGCTTTACAGACAAGCAAAAGCTAACAGAATTCAGCACCACCACACCAACTTTACAACAAATGCTAAAGGAACTTCTTTAGGCAGGAAACACAAGAGAAGAAAAAGACCCACAAAAGCAAACCCAAAACAATTAATAAAACGGTAATAGGAACATACATATCAATAATAACCTTGAATGTAAATGGATTAAATGCTCCAACCAAAAGACACACACTGGCTGAATGGATACAGAAGCAAGACCCATATGTATGCTGTCTCTTGTAGAGACCCACTTCAGACCAAGGGACACATACAGACTGAAAGTGAAGGGATGGAAAAAGATACTCTGTGCAAATGGAAATCAAAAGAAAGCTGGAGTAGCAATACTCGTATCAGATAAAATAGAGTTTAAAAAAAAGACTGCTACAAGAGATAAGGAAGGACACGACATAATGATCAAGGGATCAATCCAAGAAGAAGATATAACAATTATAAATATTTATGCAGTCAACATAAGAGCACCTCAATACATAAGGCAAATGTTTACCATCAAAAAAGGGGAAATTGACAGTAACACACTAATAGTAGGGGACTTTAATACCCCACTTACACCAATGGACAGATCATCCAAACAGAAAATAAATAAGGAAACACAAGCTTTAAATGACACAATAGATCAGATAGACTTAATTGATATTTATAGGACATTCCACCCAAAAGTGGCAGAACACACTTTCTTCTCAAGTGCACATGGAACATTCTCACATCTTGGGTAACAAATCAAGCCTCAGAAAATTTAAGAAAATTGAAATCGTATCAAGCATCTTTTCTGACCACAATGCTATGAGATTAGAAATCAGTTACAGGAAAAAAAACCGTAAAAAACACAAATACATGGAGGCAAAACAGTGCACTACTGAATAACCAAGAGATCACTGAAGAAATCAAAGAGGAAATAAAAAAATACATAGAAACAAATGACAACGAAAACACGATGACCCAAAACCTATGGGACTCAGCAAAAGCAGTTCTAAGAGGGAAGTTTACAGCAATAAAATCTCACCTCAAGAAACAAGAAAAATCTCAAATAAACAACCTAATCCTACACTTAAAACAACTAGAGAAAGAAGAGCAAAGAAAACCCAAAGTCAGTAGAAGGAAAGAAATCATAAAGATCAGAGCAGAAATAAATGAAATAGAAACAAAGATAACAATAGTAAAAATCAATAAAACTAAAAGTTGGTTCTTTGAGAACATAAACAAAATTGATAAACCTTTAGCCAGACTCATCGAGAAAAAAGGGAGAGGACACAAATCAATAAAATTAGAAACGAAAAAGGAGAAATCACAACTGACAAAACAGGAATACAAAGTATTATAAAAGACTACTACAAACAACAATATGCCAATAAAATGGACAACCCTGAAGAAATGGACAAATTCTTGGAAAGGTACAATTTTCCAAGACTGAACCAGGAAGAATTAGAAACTATAAACAAACCCATCATAAGTAATGAAATTGAAACTGTAATTAAAAATCTTCCACCAAACAAAAGTCCAGGACCAAGTGGCTTCACAGGCGAATTCTATCAAACATTCAGAGAAGAGCTAACACCCATCCTTCTCAAACTCTTGCAAAAAATTGCAGAGGGAGGAACACTCCCAAATCTGTTCTACAAGGCCACGATCACCCTGATACCGAAACCAGAAAAAGATATCACAAAAAAAGAAAATTACAGACCAATATCACTGATGAACATAGATGCAAACATCCTCACCAAAATACTAGCAAACAGAGTCCAACAACACATTAAAAGGATCATACACCATGATCAAGTGGGATTTATCCCAGGAATGCAAAGATTCTTCAGTATATGCAAATCAATGAATGTGATACACCATATTAACAAATTAAGGAATAAAAACCATATGATCATCTCAATAGATGCAGAAAAAGCTTCTGACAAAATTCAACACCCATTTATGATAAAAACTCTCCAGAAAATGGGTATAGAGGGAACCTGCCTCAACATAAGAAAGGCCATATATGACAAACCCACAGCAAACATCATTCTCAGTGGTGAAAAACTGAAAGCATTTCCACTAAGATCAGGAACAAGACAAGGATGTCCACTCTTGCCACTCTTATTCAACATAGTTTTGGAAGTCCTAACCACAGCAATCAGAAGAAAAAGAAATAAAAGGAATACAAGTTGGAAAAAAAGAAGTAAAACTGTCACTGTTTGCAGGTGACATGAGACTATACATAGAAAATCCTAAAGATGTCACCAGAAAACTACTAGAACTAATCAATAAATTTGGTAAGTTTGCAGGATACAAAATCAATGCACAGAAATCTCTGGCATTCCTATACAGTAAAAATGAAAAATCAGAAAGAGAAATTAAGGAAACACTCCCATTTACCATTGCAACAAAAAGAATAAAATACCTGGGAATATACTAACCTAAGGAGGCAAAAGACCTGTACTCAGAAAAC